TATTCTAAAATACATTTTTTCAAAAATAATGGGGCTCAAACACACCCGAAAGAATGGCTCTACAATTGCCACTTGTTTTCTACTAACACACTTTTGCGAGTCAAGTCCTTCAACCTTTACATAAAACCACATTAAATCCTTATCTTTCACTACTTGAAAAGTAAGTCCCCAAAATTTAAATGATTTTCATCTTAAACCCTCAAATATCTTAAATATAAAATAAGCCCTAATTAAGTACTTTATTCCTTTTAAGTTCCTAATTGACTTTGACTTTTACTAGTTGAACCATTGACTTTGAATAAATAATATTAACCTTTGATTAGTATAAAATTGGGTGTAACAGAGAATCTTACTATCAGTCGATTAACTTGAATGCTAGCTCACAAGAAAGTTAAGTAGAGGTACCTAAAAAACAGGATTCTACATATGTAGAATGGCCTAACGGACTTCACAAGTATATGAACATCTTATAATCACATATAACACATAATTTATGCTGTTTTACATACGTAAATTCATGGAATAACCTTTGGCCTGGATCGATGCCGAGAACGATATTGGTTGTGACCTTGATGCACAGCTCGAATTGCCTTCTTCCTGTGGCTCATAATTCTCAAACTTTGTCTTAGTATGTTAATCTCTCTCTCCCTTTTGCATTCTTTCTGCTGCAATGAATCCAACTTTGCTTGTAGCAATTCAATTTTTTCTTCCTTGGCTCTCAGTTCCTCCTTCATCTCCAACAATATTTCTTCTTCCTCGCCTTTCCAACAAAGTCTTTCTTCTACAAAACAACCGAAAACAACTGATTAATTAAGCCTTGTTCCTCATAAATTTGAGATCTGCAAAAATCATTTTTCTTCGCTTCATTAGGTTCATTGCAAGATGATTATTCCTGCTTATTTACCTGAACTTAAGTGTGTATAAAAACATAGTCGGAATTTTCTTAGCTGCTCGAACAAAAAAGATAAATATAGCATCCAAAGTAGTAGGAAACAGATACATCAGATAATATCCTTTCAAAATATTCAATAGGTGGTCTGGTTTTAGAACTGAATGTACGATAAATAGCATCAGAGTGTTGGGCTCCGAAGCAGCAATACAAATACTTACTATAAAGAACACCCATGATTTGCATCTTTGGAGGGGGTAGACAAGGGGTTCACCGATTCCAATTCCAACTTCAGAAAAAGGACGAGGAGCCGCCATTAAGCCCCATAAAGCCAAGGGTAGGCAATCTCGAAAGCATGTCTATAAAAGGTTGGATGTCTCGAATGGATCAGAGAAAGTAGGGTACTTGACCACCTCCTATAGGGAGTTTAGTTGCTGAAATGATATGTTTGGCTTATGAAAAATCATTTTAAAATGAAAAGGGTCATCTTTAATTCCATTTTCAAGATGCCAGTTCCATGGCAGCAATGTACCATGATTGAAATACAGGATGCTGGAGCACCTAATATGGTTATATGTAGTTATATAATGATGATAATGCAGATGACAGGGAACTGTGTACCTTGATGTGTTCTTTGAATAAGATCATCAAGCTCAACCTTGATTGCAAAATAAAGCTGTTTCCACTTCTCTACAGTCTCGTCTCGCCTGGCTTGTTCCTCCTTGATATGCTCTAAAATGGAACTTTTGTCGAATATTAGCCATTCATTATTATATTTTTCACTCACCATGACACTTTCCTCCATGCATCTCAACCTCTCCTTTTTTTCTTCTAATCTCTTCCTCAACTTCTTTGCCTCGTCTTCCAATCTCCTCCTTTCCCTTCTCCACTCAGCTTGTTTAAACGCGAAAACCATCAACTCATGCTCGTAAGCTTGATTTTCACTTTCTCTGATGCACATTATTTCATTGATCTCCCCCTGTAGAAGCCTCACCTTCTTTTTCAAGCCTTCCACCACTTTCTCACTAGGTCTGCTCTTTTCCTTAGTTTGAACACAACCCATACTTTTGATTCTTCTACTGATTTCAAGCTCTAGTCTCATATGGACGACGACTTTTCAAGATTTAGTCTCTTAAAAGAGAATTTAACTAAATTTAGATCAATATTGAATACTCGTGTCTATTCGAAAAGGACGCTCCCTCGTGATCCGAGTACGAGTGGAGCTACATTCCTGCCATTACAATAGTTCTTTCATTAACACAATCATTTATGGTACTGTCAAAGATTCTCGTGAATGGGGGGCCTCCATATTTCATATGTTGGCACGGACTGGGCTTTAAAGGAGTTCATTCAAACGTATGATAGACGAGGCAAAGCAACATGTATATCATTTAAGAGAAATTTGGAAGTATTGGCTGATTATTGACATTTTTGCTGCAGAATGGTCCTACATATTTGAGAGAATATATGCATGGCGAATTGGTTAATTGATAAGGACATGAATAGGGTCTCCCAAGACGTGAGACTTATCATCATCTTTTGGATTTAGTTTTACTATTTCAAGAGAGATTTTTGTGGAAAAACAGTTTTCTTTAGACATTATCTTAAGATGAGTTACTTTTTCCAGTCGGCTCAAAATTATGAACTCAAATTAGCTGAGAGCCGTCTCTCCAATACATTTTTTATATATCAGCACATCAAACTGTAATGTGACGAGGTGTCAAAAAATGTATTTTAGCATCTTCTCCAAGGGCGGAGGGAGGGAGCCTAGGGTTGCCCCAAGTCCATTCAGCCGTTGTTTAGTGGCCATTTTTCTGGAAAAATAATAATTTAAATAGTGATTTTTTGAAGAATATATGATTTAAAAATAGGGAAAATTTTTGGATTTACGTGTAGAATATTTTATTAATTTTTTTATGTCTCAATTTAGTACAAAAATAAAAAAATTGTCCACCTAGCTCCGTTCTTGGTCTTTTCATTTGTCGAGAAGTAATGTGTAATTGTGTTAAAATATAGAGTAATGTTACTTAGAGTCCATTTGGCTAATTTTATGAATGTGACTTCCTCTAAAAGTACTTTCGGAATATGAAGTGCTTTTAAAAATTAGTTTTCAAACAAAAATTAATGTAATTTTTTTTTTAAAAACTCTTCTATATAAAGTAAAAGTATAAGCAGAAAGCATACCAAACAGCTACTTAATATCATTGATGTTACAAATTACAACATTGGTCTAGATATCATCTAAGTAGCATTAATGATTTGTGCAATTAAATGAACCTCATAATACCTTCTAGACTGCTGTTAGCATTGTCTTTCGGGCATACTTTAAGGAATGTGGTTCTTGCTCATAGCCTTTACAAAGCTGTAACCCGTTCCTACTCCAATCTAATCAACTTTCCCTACCTCAAGCAAGTACTATACGTGGTACCCCACAACTAAAAAAGTCCGTCGGTAACTTCAGGGAGGGCATTTTCAATAAGGGCATTATGTTAGGTAAGAAATTAAACTTTTTCTGATAAAAATTTCAGAACTAGAATTGTTTGCAGCTCCTTCAATATATTGTAATGCCGGATCTATACTACATAAAGTCAGGTCAGGGGTAAAGAGTTGACGGTTTTAACTGCATTTTGAGTTTCTTATCTTATCTAAATTAGGGTTTAGTTTTATCTGATGGAATAAATTATTTCAACTAAATTTTCTCACAGTATTTTCCCAAAAATGAAATAATAGTAATAAATGATTGCTAAAGAGGACAAACAATTGATTAGAATTCCCAAAGCAGGTATTTTATTGAACAGACCCAATTATGGATTGTAGTTGGAAGAGAGAAGTCTCACTAATTGTAAATTTGTGGTACTGGAAGGGGGTTGGGTAGGGTTGGGCTTGGTTGAAGAAGAGAGAGAATTTTATATTTCGTTTTCTTAATTGTGTTAACTGGGATTTTTTTTTTTTTTTTCTTTCATTTTTTGAAAAAGGATTTTACTCTCATTGTAATTTTAAAAAAAAAAATTTCTTTATTTGAAGAAGTAAATTACACTTTGTGCCAAAATACTGAAAGGGCATGTATGTTTTATCATTTGTGTTGATTACACTTTTAAAAAACAAAAAAAAATATTTAAGTATGTTGGAATTAGGATAATTTTTTAATGTGTTCAGGAATTGTTTCTTTATTTTTTCATTTTTTATTTAACAATGAAAAGTGAAAACTGTAAGACATAAATTACAATACCCACTTAATAACCATTTAACTTGATGGAAATACATACAGAACTTTCAATATTAAGAGAGAAATTATGCAGAGATTTTTCACGGGTTTGGCTAGGGACCCTTGGCATATATATAAAGACAACCACTGCAACTTTCATCCATCATGGAAGTTGTTGGTTTTTTCCCGAATAACTTCCCTTCACTAACCAAATGAAAAGTTATCTAGACAGTTAATTAGCCAACTATTTAAACTTTAAATTTATTAAACTTTGTATTGACCATGTGGGCTACAAACGGTTTACATTCTCCCACTCGATCCACGTGTTCAATGGTTAACTTCAAGTGGGTACTTAATATGACCATATGCTAAAACTGCAAATAACATATTCAAGTACAAATTCACAATATGAATCATGGCCGTCCTGTTTTAATAATCAAACATTTCCTTCCATATATTACAAGTATGATCACTTCTAGAGAGTACTTTACTTTATACATGAACTTCCTATAAATCATTCGGGGTCCAAACTATAATAATCACAATGAATATCCAAATTACAAACTTTAAGTGCACTAATAACAATGTTTCAAAATAAAAACAACAATCTTAAAACCAAACATCAAAGTATCATACTGAGCACACAAGTCCCATATTTTCAACATAAGCTTTATAAACTTTAGTCGGCAAGCCCTTAGTCATGTGATCTGCAATCATAAGTTCTGTTTTGATATGCTCAATTGCCACTTTATTTCTCTTTATATAATCTTTGACAATCAAATACTTTATGTCGATATATTTGCTTGGGCTTCCACTTTTGTTATTTTTTGAAATGAATATTGCAACCGAATTATCGCAATAAATCTTCAAATGCTACTCTATATTATCAACAACTCTTAAGCATTTGACAAAATTTCTCAACCATAATGCCTGTGTTAGCTTCATAGCAACCAATGAATTATGTATCCATGGTAGACGATACAATTATAGTCTGCTTGCTACTTCTCCCAGATACAACTCCTTCAACTAGAAGAAACACGTATCCTGAAGTAGACTTTCTTGTGTCTACACATCCCGCAAAATTTGGATTCGTATATCCAACAACTTCAAAATTGTCGAAATGCTTGTATGCAAGTCTGTAATCTTTGGTTCCTTGTATATATCTCATCACTTTCTTGGTAGCTTTCCAATGTTCTATACTTGGATTACTTTGATACCTACCTAGTATAGAAACAACAAATGCAATGTCGGGTTTAGTACAGACTTGTGCATACCTTTAATAACCGGTGCTACGCTTGATGCACAATCTTTCATCCTAAATCTTTTCGAAACATTTTCAACGTAGGCTCTCTAAGACAATCCTAATAACCTTTTAAATGTGTCTCCGTGAATCTCTATGCCAATGACATAAGAGGCATCACCCATATCTTTCATTTCAAAGTTTTTTACTAAGAAATTGTTTTGTGTCATGTAGCAATCCCTAATCACTACAAGTAAAATATCGTCTACATATAAGACTAGAAAAATGTATTTGCTCCCACCAACTTTAAGATATATACACTGGTCTATATGAAGTAACAATATTGTGAAACTTCAAATACCATTGACGAGAACCCTATTTTAGCCCACATATAGATTTCCTTAATTTGCAAACAATGTGATTACCTTTATCACTAGTAAATCTTTCAAGTGGTTTCATGTATGCTTCTTCTTCAAGATCCTCACTCAAATGCTATTTTCACATCCATCTGATATAGCTTCGATCAAAATGAGCTACTAAAGTCATTATAATTCTATAAATGAACCTTTCTTAGAAATTGGAGAAAATATTTCATGGTAATCGATGCCTTCATTTTGATTGGAACCCTTAACTACAAGTTTGGCCTTATATCGTTCTATAGTGCTATATGCATTTCTTTTGGTCTTATAAACCCATTTATAACCAACGGTTGTATGTCCATTGACAATTCAACGAGATCCCAAACCTGGTTTTTAGCTATAGATTTCATTTCTTCCATCATGGCATCATACCAAAAATTTGAGTTTTCTCCTTCAATGACTTGTGAAAACGAGTTAGGATCATTATCATGTCCAACAATATATCAGACTCTTGAAGATATACAACATAATTGTTAAAAATTGCTGATTTCCTTATTCTTGAGGATCTCTTTATATCTACTATCTCATCTTGATTTTTTCATATTTTGAGAGTAATAGGTTCAGCATCCAGTGTGGATTCTTGTTGTGCATTTTCCTCATGCAGTAATGATTGTTCTTGAGTTGGTTCATTTCTAATTGTAATTGAGTTCTTTTTTCTAAAGGAATCCATATGTCTAGATTGGAAGATGACCTAACAGATCCTTTCATTTCTTGAAAATCATTATTTCTAGAAAACTCGCTCTCACTTACTTCATGATCCTCTAAAAATTTTGCATTTCTAGTTTCGACAATCGTTGGAGTGTGTGAAGGACAAAAGAATCTATATCCCTTGCAGTTCACTAGATAGCCTATGAAAAATCCACCAACTGTCCTCGGGTCCAATTTCTTTATATGAGGATTGTAAACCCTCACTTCAACTGGACAACCTCCCTCGTCCCCTGTCCCGCCAAGCAATTCCCCACCCCTGTCCCGTTACCAGTTTAAGGTGGGGCAAGGCGAGGCCCTTGCCCAATTTACTACCTTGTTCAATTTTTTTAAAATTTTTTGATAATTTATTCTATTACATCCATTCATTACATCAAGACAAATAATTTTAGTTGCCATTTTTTATTAAAACTAATGAAATTTCGTGAAATTTTGTATTTAAAGTATTGAATTCTG